AGACACAAAGTTGAGCAAGGCGAATTCCAGCTTCGTTAATATGAAAATCCTTTGAATATCTAAAATCGGACAAATATTTGGGCATTGGTTCATCTGAGTCAAAACTCAGGCTCCTTGCAAGGTCTAATCCATTCTGTCCTATTCTAGCATTAAAATCACCAGCCGTTGTTATATCTGTGACTGGGATTTTCTCTTCTAGATCCTCAAAGAGCCCTGAAATGCAATCCCAATAACGGGGTCAAGTTTTGCTCATCAACACATGGGGGTATATAAACATGAATTATTATCAGAGGCTTTTCTAAACCATTCAGAAGGAAAGCTTGAGCCATGTGTTCACAATCCTGGAGTGGGATCACCTCAAGCTCAATTTTACATGAACATAGTAATGATATACCGGCTTTATAACGTCCAAAGCAGTTTGATTTAAAGACTAAAAGGGAATATGTCCTATATTCTCTAACTTAAATCTCATATTGGGCCCAGGTTTCCTGCAATAAAATTACATCAAACTCGAGAAAATGTCTGAATTCCAAATCATGTACCTTGTTCCTCCTTCCAGCAATATTCCATGACAGGATCTTGAAATCTGAGGAAGGGGGATCCTTTTGTAGTAATTCCACTTCTGTTAATTGTTCAAAGGATTTATTAGTATCAAAAGAAGACACTGCCATTCCTTAAACACTTGTGAGTGGGATTAGGTGCCATCCCTTGTTCCTTGTTAAGGAAATGACATTCTGCCAACTCTTGATCACCGTTGATTAGGGGAGTTGTCAGGACATCCAATTCCACCTCCATTTCGCTCGCAGATTTCTGGTTTAGTAGATCTTTAATGGCGATGGTATAGTCTACTTCAGATCCCACATGTAACTGGGCAGTTAATGAATTTGGTTGCGACAGCTTCTCGGATCTACTTTTAATCAGCTTGGTCCTCAAAAACTGTATCTATGATCTATTGCTTGTCCTGGTCAAGTAGGGTTCCAAAAGCTTCTTGAACATTTTCCTCCACATCTCCCTCATCCAGCAACATATCTGAGGTAGATGGCACTATATTGTTTGCTGGAACAGTCCCACTGCCAGAAGTCCCGTGATTGGGACTATTTGGAACTTTCCTTGAGTGTTTATTTGATCCCTTAGGATGCTTATGTTGTTTTCCATGCTCTAGTCCTGCTGTCTCCATCATTAAAGGCACTAAAATTATACTCATAAAAACACAAGCAGGGAAAATTCCCTTAGTCCTTTAAAAACCTTTGTTTTGCAGCAGAGTTGATGGTATTACTGGGCTGTTAAATGACAGTAGAACTCTTTGAGCTTGATTCACACTGTTCAAAATTTCAAGCTCTTTTAGGTCCAACACTTTCACCTGGTCACCCATGAGAACTCTTAAATGTTTCCTAACAGCTACTTTGGCATGCCAAAGAGAGATTTGGCCATTATGTTTCCACACAGTCAAACTGACTTTAGTAGGTTGCAGCACTAATTGATAGTTCCCTCTGAGTTTGTTAACCACCAGTCATGGATTGGTTGGCTCTATAGATACCCTGTCTCTGTCAGGAGAGACTGCCATCTGCTTTAGCTCCCTGTTCCTACTTGCACTTCTTCTTCCAGCTATATTTACCACCATGTTGCTTATAGTGTCTATTTTGTACTGCAACAGTTGTAGCATTTTGCATATATACGCAACAGTTTTTGCAATTAGCTGGAGTAGCAATAGCCTCAGATAAATCTTCAGAATCTGCCAGCACAGCAAACCAGTTAGAAGTAGGGATTTAATTTAGATAAATCTCATCAATTTTCAATTGTTTGGAAGTAGTTGGGGTGCAGTCCTCAGCCTCTCTCGCTCTTTTAACTGTTTTCATGTTAAAACAACACTGGTCTCCCCAGGATTCATTAAAATCACCTATATTCCAGTATAGCAAAAGCAATGCTGTGTGCCAAAAGCAACAGTCTGACTACACAGCTGTAACTGCCACAATTATCTCATGTTTGAAGGTTAATGACTGAGCATTAACGCTCACTATTTCCAGTGCCTTCAGTGTGGGAGGCGATTCCAAGGTCGTAAAACTTAACTTGGAGTTGAAAGCTTAAAAGTTTACAACTAGAAGTTAAAAAGTTTAAAACATTAGAAGAATTAGACAAGTGGGAGAGCATTGTGAGTGCCACGTCCAGCCAGTTTCAGCAGTGGGATATGCAGTGACACTTAAGTACCTGCATCCTGGACTTTTACTTTATTTCTACCCCTTTCTCCCCAAAGCTTACATCCTCCTCCTTTCCTCCATTTTATTTTATGAGCTAGGTTATGCTGCCTGTGTAACTGGCCCATGGTCACCCGGCTCCCATGGGCAGAGTGGGGGTTTGAAACTGGGTCTCCCAGCTCCTAGTCTGACAGTCTAACCACTGTACCAACCTCGGGTTCCTGAGTACCAAGAGAGGCAGCAATATTTTATCATGCATCAGCTACTTTCCTGTGACAGTGAAATGGGGAGAGGCTGGTGCCAAGAGGTTCTGAGTACTGGAGTGGAATTCATTTACCCTGCTTCTCCCCCTCCGTTATGGATGAGGAGTCACTCTGCTTTCATCTTTTTTTATATTTAAAGTTCTAAAGGGGCTCAAAAGAGATCAAAGAGGAAAGAGTCTTCCTCTGATACTAGCTCTGTTTGCAGGGGTAGGAACGGTTCAAGACTTAACAAGCACAGAGTACAGGAATCATTCCTTAGAGCATTATGATTTGGAACAGCATGATCCCTGTATGTTGGTCAGGACAAGTCAAGGACTCTTGGTTGCAACCAAATAGCCTACTATCCAGGGATATTCCCATAGAGAACAAAAACACCCCAAACTCCCTTTTTTCAAAACAATGTTTGTAGCTTAATTTTATCTACCTTGCTAGAAATACGAAGAAGACAGTAATAACTTTCAGTTTTTGCAGTTGCATTCATCCTTGTCTGCAGGGGTGCCTTCTTCCCTTACAGTTCAGATTCCACAAACCCAAGTGAATCTTTCTTCAGGTAAAAAGCGCTTTTTATCATGCAGAGGTGGAGCCATGTAGATATGACATAATAATTGTTGGCAGCGTTTTGGCTTTTGGGTACAGTAGAATATTTAATAAGAGGGTAATTCCAGCTCAGCGTATGCTGAATCGTTGATCTTTATATGCCACAGACTTTGGGCTGTATTGGTACATTTTTATTCACACTTGGAAAAAAGTTTTAGCATTCAGGCATTGACTAAACTGTTCCCATGCTGAAATTGCTTACCATGTTTCTCTATGGCTACCTCTATTGTATATTTAAGAACAGCAGCCAGATTTTGCTTCAGTCTTGTTAAAGGGACATCCCAGGTGTTTCCCCAGGTCTTGCTATCTACTTAGTCCCAGTCCCTAAATTTGCTGTGAATGCTGTTAAAGAGAATGGGCTACAGATAGCTCAGGCTGTGGATGTGCAGGCACAGTCACAGAGCTTTGACTTCTGGCATAGATATCCTATGGTTGCAGTCACACACGCCAGAAAAAAATGGGGGGAAGCAAGGCTATTTCCTCCAGATGAATTTGATCCACAGTTGCATGATCACATCTTTTGAAGACACGGGCGCAGTCCATCAGTGTGTGACCAGATGCAACTGCGGGTGAATCTGGGAGGAGGGTTGTGTGCTTTCTCCCCCCTCCCATGTGCTTAAATGAGGGATTGATGAATCGCACCTCCACACCGAGGGCTCCCTATGGAGTTTGTGATGATGCGCATACTGCGAAGGGGGGAAAAACAATGGCACAGAGTTGGGATGGCCTGATCAGACCATCCCGACGCCATGAGAGCAATCAGACATGGGAAAGTCCGTCTGTGGCCTGTTGCAACCCGTTTACTACCAAATTTCCCCCCAGTGTCTTTTAACTCTGCTTCTGCAGTGGAGCAGAACAGGTTGCCAATGGCTGCAGGACGCTTCCCAGATGTTGTTGTCTGATCGCACCCTTTAAATCCACCCGACATTTGCGCCTATGTCGGGTCTAATTGTGCATATGATCGCAGCCTATTACTGTTTAATATCAGGAGCTGCAGAGTCTAAAGGTAGGGATAACTTCCATGCTCAAGTCGTATGAAGCCTTGGGTATTATGGACACCACCTTCGTTTTGCAAAAGTATCAATGTAGTTTGAAGAACTACAGGGAAATCAAGTGGACCCTCACAAGAACAAGCTGCCTTCTAAAACAATCAAAGCAAACTCAACTGTCATGGTTTCAGGCAATGGCTTTAGTCTCTGAACATGGCCAACAGTTACTTCTGGCTTCAGCACCAGAATGTGGATTAGATTTCCAAATCTTAACTTGCTGACAGCATCATTCTCAAGGGGTAAGGTTATTTGGAGACAGGGTGTTTAGGAAATCTGATAGAAGGCTCCCCCCCCAATCTGTAGTTTCTATCTGGATTAAAATGTGACTAAAAGGGGGGGGGGGGGGAGGCGGGACACACAACTATTTCCACTTAACCCATCCACCCACATTCATACATCTGGCATTGATGTCTAAATAAGATTTTTCACACAAGAAAAGGTGCAGTGGAAGGTGCAAGTGAGTCCAATATTAAGTCAAGTTGTGTTTAATATTAAGGTGATGTCTGAATGCAGGCCAGGAGAGGAGGTTGGAAAGAATCAGGCCTGTATTAAATCACTAGTAAAGTGACTCTCACAAAAGACTCTACCAGAAAAAGGGGGATTTTAAAGAGGAAGCACATCAGTAACAATATTTCACACTGCTTCAACTTTATAAGCTCTTATTTAATGTTTAAATACTAGCTAAATTAAAGGTAGCACTCAGTGAGCTACAAGGAAAGCTTAGAAGAGACCACTGGAAAGATGAGAGTAATATACTAACAGTAATTCATTTACTGCAAGTTTCTTCATAAATTCATTTTATTTAGCATCAGTTCAGATATCTTTACATTTCATTTGCATGTTCATGTTTCTATTTTAACATCTGTTCTACAGCCTTTTGTAACAGCAATCTTTCCTTTCTCTGCCCCCCCTTCAAATAGCAGGTTAATGTTTACAGCTCAAATGCCCCCCCTTTTAAAAAGTAAATCTTCCTGACAAAACCAGAAGAACCCCAACGTACTAAGCTAGACTCCTTCACATCTAGCTTTCCATGAGCAGAAAGTGTTTTTGTATAAAGGTGCATGCCACATACAGTCTAAAGTGGTACAGTCCAGTCAAAGGTATACTAGCTGTGCATAAAAACCAGCATACTAATTGGTAGGTATATGAACAATGATTAGGTATAGCGCTAGTTGGAATTGACTTATAATAAGCTCAAAGTATTTATTCTCAGGCTCATTTTGTCACAAAGCTTCTTTCAGTGCAAGGCCAAAACAGAGGAAGACGAGTTAGAATAACAATTAAATATTTTTAAATAACAAACACAACCCACACATCCCATGATTTCATTCTGCTGTGTAATAAAAATACACATCCTGAGTTAGGCAAAGTCCCCTCCCCCCCAAGGGAGAAATTAGTACTTTCTTGCATACTTTGACACATTTAAGATTTTTTTCATTGTTGCATGCAACCTAGGTTTAGAGGCACGATGGAAGTCAATTTAAGGAAAGGCTTTGTGGGCTTGTATTGTACAGATTTGGAATTCCTCCAAACTGGGTTTACCAAAAAACACAAGCTATACAAAATAGTGCACTGACATACACTGCAAGTGCTTCTCTACAATAAAACTGCCAATACGTATAAGGCAATTAGGACAAACACTGCACTTGCTTCTAAATGGGAAAAATTCTCAACAGAAGAAACAAAAATACTATACACAGGATCGACTGCTACTAAGGCAAGAGGTCACATACATCTTTGTGCAGGTAGCTTTTTTGTCAGCTTTGCTTGGCATCTTTTGGGTTTAATGGGCAAATCAACTGTATGACTTAAGGCCCAGCTCTATCTTACACTGAACACACAGGTGCAACCAAAAACAGCAGCCATGAAACTACGTCCTCCCTTCTTAAGAGCCAGCAGAACTTACTTTGTGACATGACGGCATTCTGCATTTTGTTGCCATGGGCAGGGGAAGAAATAATGTCATAATCCCTCAGTGCTAGATATTTTTGGCTGTACCTTCAATATAAATGTCTAGTTTTGCCCTAATTTGTAAACTGCAATTATTCTGCATCTGAGTGTCTTGAAAAGAGTTATATAACTTGATGCTGATGAAATTCAGAATTGTCATTTTTTTTAAGTTATAAGCCAAATCATGAAAACTTATCCCAGTGACAAAACTGAAGAATACTATAACACAGCCCAGGTGACAGCAATTAAGCTAAAGTAGGAGGGTTTAAGATAATAAGTGCTTAATTGTCTCTATTTAGAAGCAAGGACACAGGATTCCAACTGATGCCAAGTAGAGTGCCTGGGTCTGAGCCACATGGGGAGCACTGTGTGCAAAGAAGAGCAGTTTGTCCGTGAAACTACTCTTTGGGGATGCTGTACCAATATAGTTAATATCATCCTGAAAATCTCTATATGCGCATGGAGCCTTCTGTGCAATTTGGCATCTTGGCAGCAAAGTTTCCCTAAGCTCAAGGGAGCAGCGTAACCTTAAGCCCTGCAACTACACCTTTACTGGGGGAAGAAGCAATTCCTTTTCTACCCACAGGCTCTGTAGGTGTTCAAAGTAGTAAAGCCTCTACAGAAAATAAGCCAGGTAGCATCATACAAAATATTTACAGAGGAGCATGTAGAAGTATTGGTTTTGGGCCATCTGTGACCAAGGGACTGTAGAGCCCAAATTACTTGGGGTACTGAGGACCTGAAACTGAAAAGAATGACACATTTTCTTTTTCATTAGATGGACCAGTTGACTACAAAATGATGGAAGTGTTTGTTTGAATTACTTTCTATAACTAAACATCCACAAAAGATCCAAGAAGAAAATGCATTTAAGCAGTGACAGAACTCTTCTACAGGATCAGAAGCTTCTGTTCTGTCATCACATGCAGAAAGGAAAGGGGTATAATAATGTGTTTGCTTTTTATATCCAGCAGCAAAAAGCTCCTAATTAATGACATCTGTTTTCAGCCTCCTTTCTGCTCTTGAGTAAGGAAACATAATTTCTTGCGTTTTTGTCTTTTGCAAATATGTTTTTCCTGTGCACGGAAATATTTGGGCTTTGAATATTTAGATTATGTTGAATAAAGGGCTATAGAAGGTAAAGGAAGGGCAGTGACTCACTTAAGCTACTTTCAAGGTCTTTGTGCTGCTCTTGCTCATTCCAGGTAAAAGCAAACTTATTTTCTACTTTTAGACATAAAATCAAAGTTTTACTATAATGGGATTTCCAATGAGGTTTTCCTAATCCAAATATGAAAAACTCATAAGAAATAAAGAAGTTAAACAATTCATTAACTACAAAACAACAAAACCACACACATATACATTACAGAAGGCCAGAATGGTAGCTTAGTGCTTAACACAGAAGATAGCGCTTATGTGTTTGCATCTGAAGTCTGCCCTTCATACTGCTTGGTCCCTACAGAGCAGAAGGTAACTTCTACTGAAAATAGACTGCATTAAAGCTTCAGAGTCTCAATGACTCCAGAATGGAAAAAGAGAAGTGTTAAAAAGAAGATGGAACAGGTCAACACAGGAAAAAACGGGGGTTCTAAAGAGACGGATCATCAATCTCTCTGGCTTTATAATTTAAAGAACTTTGATTATAGAGTGCATTGTAAGTGGGCACCTTTACCTCAGAGCTGTGATCATTTAAACACTTGCTTATCCTCCATGATGTACAGTCATAAAAGTTTCCAAGCCAAAGCTTTAGTTCAGATGATTACAAAGGACTGACAAGGGTTTAAGGGAAGGCAGCACTCTCGTTATTTAAAGCCCATCAAGTATTTACCTCATTGCACTCAGAACTCCAGCACAAAAGGCCCTTTTGTTACAAGACAACATGAACCTTGCCTTTGGGATATGGCTTTACGATGGCCTTCCTGGTTAAGTCCATCACAGGCATGCTGGCCATTCAAGTGGGAGAAATGGGTGGTCTGTCTTGCATAAAAACACAAGAGGTTCTTCTTTTCCCCAAGGAGGGAACTAATAATTTCACCACCTTTTAGGTATTCAAGCGGCCACAGAAATACCCTTGCAGGTAAAGTTTTTTCACCACTGTTAAAAATACTGTCTCCTCTGACTTGCCCAATCTCCCTATGAATCAAAGCTTGTTTTCCAGTATTTGTCACCAAGTGATCTTTATATTACCTCTGGATTAAAAGATAAATTGGTCGTAAGTGGAGACCCAACTGGAGAGAACTGTCCAATTGGGAAATCTTTCTAATAAGACATGCAACTGTGGTGACTTCTGATCTTCCCCAAAGCAATAATGGGTAGCTATACCAAGGGTGACCATTCCTTTGACTGGCTCATCTGAGGCCTGGAAAACAGACAAGAAAACAGAGAAAACAAAGTCATTTTCAATTATATTAATGAAATTCATAGTTTCCAGTCACAATTCATCCTGAAAAGCACTTCTATTATGCTTATGCAATGAGAACACCAGATTCAGCAGACTTGGGCCTGTAAACAGTACAAGAGCAGACATGAATGGCAATAATGAGACTGGCAAGCACACTGAAAACTAATCAGAAGGCAGATTCAGCCCACAGGTAATTATTTATTTATTATTAGATTTCTATCCCGCGGGCTCAGGGCGGCTCAGAAGGTTTATGTAACTCTTGTGAGAAAGTAAGAGCTTTAATTAAATTTACTTGTTGCAGATACAAGTTGCCTGTCTTGCAAGATAGATCTCAAGACAAGTAATATATGATGCAGACTGCAATAGATTTGAATATGTATTTTCAAAACAGCTTGCACTAGGGAAAATATATGGAATATACAAGTGTGATGCTTGGTGAGTCTCTAGCCTAATGCAAACTATAGATTCAAGGGAGCTGCTAAAAGGATATCACTGGCAAACTGAGAAGCCAATCCTTTGTTCTCTGAGCAGAAGAAAGGCAGACAGCCCCTTACTGTGTCAAAAGGGGCAACATTAAAAGAAACTTACATTCATTCTCCTTTTCGTTTTTAATTTTTCTTTGCCACATCCCCTCTCTAGCATGGTTGTGGTTTGAGAGCAAAGGTCACCTGATTACCAAGATTTTCAGCCAATGGGGTATGGGGAAGTGAAAAACTGAAACATACAAAATGCATGCGAGAAAGGCCACTATAAGTTTTTTCATTAACCTAAGGCAGGCTGTTAGTCTTTACTCCCTCAGACTTACGCTAGCTAAATATTTCTCTTTAGAACATTCTCTTAATTAAGTGTTCCTTGATGCTTTACAAACCATAACTCTGGATATGTTAAGAACACAAACTATGCCATTTAAACACTGGCCTTGTATTATCCCAAAATATTCTTATCCACAAGTTCAAGACTGGTCACAGCCATAAAAGAAACCAGGCCATTTCAAAAATGCAACTGGATCAAGAGCAGACATGAATGACAATAATGGGTGAGACAGAGGTGTGATGAAGAGCAGTCAGCAAGGTAGTCTAGACCTCGAGTTGATGGGGAGACAAATCTTTGGAACTGGTCTTAAGAGAAAACTACAAGCAGCATGGACTGATGTTCAGCAGATGTGCACATTTGCTTCTAGCGTAAAAGGAAAACTAAAGTAAAAAAAGAGTACTGAGAACAAGTCATCATATGATGTCAAAGGAAAGATGAAGATTTTTTTCCCTACCGAAATATCTGAGTAGGTTTAACAAGTCACCAAAAGCAGTATAGCAACAGCTTGAACTGCAAGTTTTGCTGATATACAACAAGTTACAATATGACATCAATCCATTACTCAAGCATGCTTGCACATATCATGCAAAAGGAAGAGAAATCATCCCTACTTTTGCAAGCAGTTGAAAAGCAGTGATTTAGGATTTTACAGTCAGGCCAGCACAGGACAGTTCACGTAGGTGCCTCCCTTCATTCCATGATTTCCTTCCACCATGGCATAAGAGTTATGTCTGTATAACTCTAATTTCAAACTCTGATTACAAGGAGAATCCTGGTACCCTACCCCCCCCCCCCCACACACACACACACACCATCTGCATTCTTTGACTGGACGGGAAGACTATCCAGTTCAGTGAACTAATAACAGTGGCAGCCAACTTCTCTGCACAACAAGCTAGCATTGGCCTGGGATAGTAAGTTAATTTCCATCTTCAGGTTTGGCTGCATACAACATGTCTGATTCCATAGCTGGTCTCTTGGAAGGAAAGAAAACTCTCTCTGCATCACATAGTATTCCAGAACTGGGCCATTCTCAAGGAATAATACAATTTGCAAACAGGCAAGATGAAGCATGAAGAACAAACCAGTATTGTATTCAAAAGATTAAAGGCAAAAAACATTCACTGATATAACCTTTCTGGCAAGTAATCCACCAGAGTAGGCAATAGAGTTCTGTGAAGTAAAATGCAGTGTTTATGGTATAGCAGGATTCCTACCCCTCTCACCTTCATCTCAATCCAGAAGCGCCATGGCAAGGCCTGGAGCCCATGCGAATAATATACAAAGTAATCCCCATCTGTATTAGCAAAAGGAGTTCCATCTCCAAGGGACCACCTGGACAATGTCACCCCTGGACGTGGTCGAAGGTATAGCGACATATGACTTGGACCTAAGCAAAAGGCAAACAAAGATTCTTGTATGAATGCAGAATAAAAGGAGCCATTTTTCAGAGATGCATTGCCCTTCACTGAAGTTCTCTCTCATACCCAACTGCTTAAGGATTGCTTCCACTCTGCAGTGTACACCAAAAGGAGAACAAAGTATATGGCCACACTACAAACTGGTTTTTATTTATCCTGTACCAACTGGAATAACCAAATCGATTTTGACAGGAGACTAATGTTCAATGCATTGCAGTAATATAGTCTCAATGTTACTGTGGCCAGATCAGCTCTATAAAGGTCAGGGGTTGTCTTTTGGGCTAGGCTGAGTTGGAAGAAAGACTTTTTTGGGCAGCTACATTAATTTTGTTGTTGTTCAGTCGCACAGTCGAGTTCAACTCTTTGCAACCCCATGGACCAGATCACGCCAGGCCTTCCAGTCTTCTGCTGCATCTGAAGTTTGCTCAACTTCATGTTCGTTGCATCGATGACACTGTCTAACCATCTCATCCTTTGTCGTCCCCGTCTTCTTTGACCTTCAATCTTTCCCAGCATCAGGGTCTTCTCCAGTGAGTGCTCCCTTCTCATTTGGTGGCCAAAGTATTTGAGCTTCAGTTTCATTATCTGGCCTTCCAGGGAACAGTCAGGGTTGATTTCTTTTAAGATTGACTGATTTGATCTTCTTGCAATCCAAGGGACTCTCAAGAGTCTTCTCCAGCACCATAGTTCAAAAGAATCTATTCTTCGGCGCTTGGCCTTCCTTATAGTCCAACTCTCGCAGCCATACATGACTACTGGGAATACCATTGCTTTGACCATGCGGACTTTTGTTGGCAGGGTGATGTTTCTACTTTTTATCATGCTGTTTAGGTTCGCCATCGCTTTCCTCCCAAGGAGCAGGCGTCTTTTAATTTCATGGCTGCTGTCACAGTCTGCGGTGATCTGGGATCCCAGGAACGTGAAGTCTGTCACTACGTCCACGACTTCCCCTTCTATTTGCCAAGGAGTGATGGGGCCGGATGCCATGATCTTAGTTTTTTTGATGTTGAGCTTCAAGCCCACTTTTGCACTCTCCTCTTTTCCCCTGAGCAAGAGGCCAGCATTTCACATGATGTACTCTGCATATATATTAAATAAGCAAGGTGACAATATACATCCTTGTCGTACTCCTTTTCCTATGCTAAACCAATCAGTTGTTCCATATCCGGTTCTAACTGTTGCTTCTTGGCCCTTATACAGGTTCCTCAAGAGACATGTGAGGTGGTCTGGTACTCCCATCTCTTTAAGGACCTGCTATAGTTTGTTGTGATCCACACAGTCAAAGGCTTTAGCATAGTCAATGAAGCAGAAGTAGATGTTTTTCTGGTACTCTCTTGCTTTCTCCATAATCCAGCGAATGTTGGCAATTTGATCTCTATGTAAATAGCCTATCGTTGGGAGCTGGGTGTCCTCTGTCCACGTACTATTGAAGCCTAGCTTGTATGATCTTGAGCATGACCTTGCTAGCGTGTGATATGAGTGCAATTGTGCGATAGTTTGAACATTCCTTGGCATTGCCCTTCTTTGGGATTGGAATGTATACTGACCTTTTCCAATCTTGCTTCTCCAGTAATAATGATGGGTCCAGTAATAACCCCAACACTCTTAACAGAGTCAGCAAGGATCAACTGAACCCCATCAGAAGTGGGGAGCACAATGTCCTTCAAGATCCCTGCCTTCCCAACTAGAATTACCTCTGTCTTTTCATGGTTTCATTTACCACAAGGATCTCTAGGTGTGGTATCTGGATGAGAGGACTAGAAGTCTCTATCAGAGTCTTCTCAAGTAGATAGAAAGTGCTGTCAAGTCATAGTTGACTTATGGCAATCTCATATTGTTTTCAAGGCAAGAGATGTTGTCATTTGCTGTTGCCTGCGTCAGCGTCACAACCCTGGTATTCCTTAGTGGTCTCCCACCCTGCTTAGCTTCCATGATCTGAAGACATCGGGCTATCCAGGTCAAGACTGAGAATTCCTAGCAGCTGCATTAAAAAATTCTCACGTGTCCTTGCTGAAAGGGTGTCAAAACAATTTAAAGTTCATAGCTAGTAATGGGATTCTGAGAAAAACCAACTATCACACTGAAAATTCTTGCTCTCACTTCCAGCAGAGTGCTTTAACGAAACTGGCAAGCACTGAAAAGCCTGCATATCAGTTAAAAAGATGCATTCGGCTTGTAGCTCTCATGCTGCCGCATCCCCCAAAGGCTGGCTGATTGCACAAGGCTTTTTTCCTCCATGGTGGTAATGTCACCACTGTAATTGTTGCTCAATTTGCACTTGAAACAGAGATTCTACACAGCGCAAGGTAGGTAATCTGGATTTTTACCCTTTCACACCAGATGCAGACTGCATGCACTCCTCCTCCCCCCTCTGCCCCCCCACTATTGTTATATCACGGTGATGATTCTCCATTATCTTTTTAAAAAAACTGGTGCATGGATAGCACTGCTTAAAATAGCAGCAATACAACATTGAAAAATGTGCATTTGCATAACACTATTCCAGAATAAAGCAATACTGCTGGAAGAAGAAGTGGAAGAAAAGTTTGGATTTATACCCCGCCCTTCACTAACCAAAGGAGTCTCAGAGCGGTTTACAATCTCCTTCCCCTCCCCACAACAGACACCCTGCGAGGTAGGTGGGGCTGAGAGAGCTCTCTTGAGAACTGCTCTTGAGAGAACAGCTCTGAAAGAATTTATAACTGACCCAAGGTCACACCAGCAGCTCCATGTGAAGAAGTGGGGAATCAAATCCCACTGATGTCCCAATTGCCATTCTTGAAAATTGAAAGACTAATTGGTCCTCCTACTGCTTGGCAGACAGGGTGAGAGTGCTTCAGAAACTATTCAAATTCTACTTGAGAGAGCAGAGGTAGACGCTATTTGTATTTTGGTAACAACATTACAATGTTGCCCTAACCCCCCCCCCCAAAAATCTGGAAAAAAAGCTTTCTTTTGCCAGCAGTGGCACCAATCACTCCTAGAGGTGTAAAATTTCCGGAAATTTTGAAGCTCGGAAAAAAACCTGGGTTTTTCCCCAGTTTTTTTGGGGGGGAAACGGAAAATTTTGGGGATATTAAAAAAAATGCTACATTAGCATATATTTTGTTTTTTCTAGATTGAAAGTCATTCTGTTACTTTAGGAACATAAAATATGACTATGGACATTTTTACTTGGCATGAAATTATCACAACTAGCATATTAAAAATATAGTGTATCGAAACAATTACTACAAACAAAATACCCATTCACATCCAAAAACAAAACTGAAAGTTTTTTATTTTCTTCTGACAATCGCACCTCCTAAAGGAAGAAATGCATCTTGTTCTTGCATTGGAGAGTTCATTTGGTAACCTAGGACTTGCTTGTCCTCAGTGCACAGAAAGTACATCAATCTGATACCATATATATATATATATATATTTTTTTTTTTTTTTTCTTTTTCCAATTTTTCGGAAAAAAACAAAAAAGGCTTCCAGTTTTTCCGTTTTTTTTCCGGGCCTTCACATCTCTAATCACTCCACTGTGAAAATGCAGAGGAGGGAGGTGTTTGTTTTGTTCTAACTGAAGGTGTACCTTCCCTTCCAGAAACATAACAAAGATCAACCCAACACTGCCAAGATCGGGAAGATCGTTTATTCAGGAATGGAATCTTGCAAAAAACCCAAACAAACAGTAATTTCTACTGAAAAGTAACAACCCACAGACTGAAGGCATGTGCTGATATTTCACCTGATATTTCAAAGGTCAACTTCGTAGCATCCCAGGGCATTTGCTCTTTGGATAGGAGCTGAAACTGAGCAGAGGCCTTAGGTATAAGCACTGGAGCAGGAAGATACCAGTTTTTCCTAAAAGAAGAGAGTTTTGTTACCTTATATTGGTGTTTAGGATTAATTCTGACAAAACAAATAGTCTGTGTATAACATGTGAAACACTGAAGGGCTATTTCGAGGGATGTTAGTCTGCTGCAGAAAAAATGACAGAAGAGTCTCGTCACATAAAAGCCTTTGAAGTTACAGCTCTGACATAAGGCCAAAACATTGTCTGACGTTACACAAGTTAGCCTGGGTTTTCCATGCTCCCTTCCTCTCCTTGCTTGCTCTTTGGAGTCCAGCCTCCCATTGCCTTTACCAAGCAAATCAAGTAAACAGAGTTTGCCGCAAACTAGAACTGGGAGACAGAGGCAAATCATGTTTTATAATTCTGATGTAGTGCCAAATTCAACCATATACGCTTAATGTTTTAAATGCTGTTTTAATGTTGAAATGTTTGCCACCTGGGAGTCCCTATTTTGCTGGAAAGGTGTTATAGAAATGTTAAGAAAGAAAGAGCTGAGGCCCTGACGGCTATTGGCTGATGCCTCATGTGATCTCCTAGTCTGATTTATAATCCAGCTGGTCACATAGGGATCGCTTCATATTCTTCATCACCAGGTCCCTCAGGAAGAATGCCATTACTGAGGCATCAACTAGTGGTACCTACAAAAGATCCATTGCATGAGAATAGTATCTTTTGGCTAGTTTAGGATTTTAGCTGCCTTGAACCACAAGGAAAGGCAGGGCATAAATGTTACAATAAATAAAAAAAGGATTGTGCTTATTGGAGAGATGATTAGTTCACTCTTCCTTTATTTGGTGTTCAAAGAACTCTGGGAAAGCCACCGCCTTCTCCACTCCTGGCAACCTGGGAAAAGCTCTTTTATTCCCTTTAGTTTCACTTTGGAGTTATTTTCCTCTTT